TCTCGTCTCCAGCTGCTCAAGTCCTGACACTGGGGCTCGTGGAGCCATATGGCAGATTGGCTCTGGGAACCAGTTGGGGTGTAGGCTAACCATTTGTGGGAGGGTTGGTTATTTTTCAGCTACATCAGTGCTCTGATTCAGTTCATTGCACGGCTGCACGAACACTCACGCTGGCATAGGGAGAAGGGGCTTGAGGCAGGGGGAGGAGAAATTGAGGACAAGACTGCACTTCCTTTCACCAGTGTTGGTTTATGTCAGGTCACAGTGATGTGGAGCTAAGGTTTCTCAATTTACAGAGGATCCTGACAAAGCAAAACTAATGTTTTCAAAAGACTGTTGAGGACAGATAGCCAAGGAAAATGTTGGAGAAATTTTAAGGAGCTGGTCCTCCAGTTATACAAAAAATCTGAGGCTGATCTTATCTTATCGTAAAAAGGAACCTTTTAAAAATTATTTCTTTAATGCCAAACTGAAACAGAAAGCAGCATTCTGCCATTTCTCACCATCTGAATGAGCTCAAATGCAAGAACTCAAAAGTTTGCTAAAATGAAAACTAGTAGTTAAGAAAGAGATAAACTAATCAGCACAAATAGTAAAGTAAATGAACATTTTAAAGAAATGCTTACAATCTAAACAGCTTCAGGAATTATCTTTTAACAAAACATCTAGTAGATTACAGAGGACAAGCTTTTAAATGTTTCAGCATCCCATAAAAACATGAAAAATGCCCACTGTTGTTGGTGAATTATTGTGTGCCATGCATCAAAGAGAAAAAAAATGCTTCCTTTACAAATACTGCAACTTGCTTTTTACACCAGTATTATCTATTATTAGTCATCCAAAAAATTGCTTTGGACTTCCCAGCAGTCTTAACTCCATCTGCCTAATGGTTCTCTTTTATACCTATCACATTTAAGTGTAAAAATATGCTTTTGGTATTTTCATGCAGAAAGGGGGGAGGAAGAAAAGGTCTAAGGTCACAGCTGGAGGGGCTGTGTTGCATGCAAGTAAGTGTACTTGCAAATTTGTGCAGGGTCCAAACACTCTGAGTCAACTCCAGTCTCATCATGGGATAAAACCACTAAGGCAGCTGCTGAGTTTCCTGCGGTATCTCCAGTGGTGTAATGAGAAAGCCACGAGGAGAACACATAAAGAATATCTATATTATGAATTATAAAGGGTAAATGCCATGGGAACTTCTGCTTCCCATATTTCCTAATAAATGAGCAGAGACACATTTGAGATGAAAAGGCCACAAAGGCTTAAGAGGGATAAAATGATTTTTTTTTTTTAATAGACTACATGAGCTGAACTGGGGAACTTGCTGCCTTAAGACATTACTAGAGGAAATACAGCTGCCAGAAGTTCATACACTTTTGAACAACTCTATTATAGGAACTATGAAAGTGTCTATGATGTTATGTTACTAAGAACAAATGTGTTTTGCTCTACAAGACATCGATTTTCAGAGTTCTGGAAAATGTGGCACTGAGAAAAACAGGACTTTTATTCCACTAAAAAACTGATTTCACATTTGTATCTTTTGTAGCCAGTTTCTGATTCTTTGGAAATAGCTGCTCGAGAAATATTGGTAATATTGACCTCAACCTGTTCCTCCTTCCTGGGCAGGAACAATGCTGCATATCAGTTTTGAGGGAACTACTACCTTCTCCTAATTTAGCATTTCTTGCTCTTCATTTTCTTGAGTCACGACAGAAGATATGGCAAAATAAATGAAACTGTAATAGCTGGCTGTGGGCTCTGCAGTATCCTCCCAGCCACATTATCATGACATTCATGTCTCACAACTATCACAAATATTGATGTGGGACATACCCACATGTTTATGCCTTTCAGCGTGGAACAGACACTGGCTGTGAGTAATTTCCAGCCGAACAGTTCAGGTTTCACAGAATTATTCTGAAGGTGCTAACCTGTTCCTTTCCTTGTGATGAAGCAGTACCCCCTGGGCCCATAAACATCTACTCATATCCTGCAGTCATGTATCTCCTGAACTGATCCTATCCTGGAAATGCATAACCTGATTCTTTTCCCAAACAACCATATTCTTGCTAACTGAAAACAAAGGAAGAAAATATGGAAGATGACTCAATTGGACGCACATCAGGATACACAAGCAGTATCTGCACTTCTGGGCTCTGGCATTGCCTACCACATAATTTCATCTGTGCTAGTCTTTTCTAAATCAGCTGCTTAACAAATTAGTGGTGAATAACTAGCAAGAAATTCAGGAGACCGTAATAGTCTTTTATCTGAGAATATAAAGAAGACTAAAAAATACGGATTTTTCTGAGTGGCAATTTAAATGACCAAATCAGTCTTCTTTCTCTTAGCTGTCTATTCATCTGCTGAGGAGCCACAAAGCTCAGATGTAAGAACATGCTGGGTTAACACATTTGTTGTCCCCTTATTTCATTCTCTTTCCAACCAGCACCCTCTAATTCACACGGAACTTTTTAGCAAACTCTAATTTCATTACTGTCTAAAACATTTCCAGTCATTTTTGCAAGGCTCACTCTCCCTGAGAAATGACCTCTGGAGGACAACCCATTGGTGGACATCTCCTTATAAAGGATTCCCCAAATTGTCCAGTGAGAAGAGAATGTCATTTGAAATTAATTGCAAAATAAACTCCTATGGATCTGAGAAGCTTCCAGAGAACACTTGGTTGATACAACCCCACAGCAACTTTGGTTTACTTGAAACTTCTCTGCTCCACAGCTCATGTTCTCACAAGAATGACTTGTGTGCAGGATTTACCACCTTCTGTGACAGTGGACCTAAGCAACTCTGCCAAGGTCATTGCCCTTGGAATCAAAAATATCGAAGGAGAGACAGTGCTTTCTCCCTTCTGTTCCTTGTTCCTTTCTATGCCACCACCTTCCTGTCTCTGATGCCAAAGCAACACATTGTAGTGTGGTCCAGCATAGCATTTTTTTCCTGTATTTCGGGTTGTGGGTTTTTTTGTAGCCCACAAGACAGCCTAATGAAGGGAGGCCCACATGAAAGGAAACCTAAAAGACTAAAATAATGAGTCTGGCTCAGAAGGACAAGAAACAATTTTACACATCACAGCCAGCTTGCTAGCCTTTGTGCAATGGTCTAAGTTGTGATATATGATTTATTCATTTGTTTTCCTACCCATTTGCATTTCACATTACGAGACAATTTTTAAAAAACTGACAGAGCACTAATTTATTTCATAACAGATTTGCAGAAGACTTAATAAGCTTTTATTTTGTGCAGAAATCCAAACACTGTGTCATTAAACAATGCTGCTTATTGAAGAGAAAATGCTTCAAACTCAGCCTTAAGAGAGACACGCACATCTTAAAAAACTCCATCTTGAACCCAGTTCTCCGCTTTATCCTGCACTGAACTGCAGGCAGACTCACGCTAGCTGAAGAGCATTTTTAGCAGGCTTTGAAGGCCTGGAAATGCTCTGCATGTTTGGTGTTTTACACGCAGCATCTGCGAGCGCTGGAGTCAGCGAGTCCCGGGCAGGCTCAGTGTCAGACCGCCCTCTCACGGCAAGCGCCAGGGCAGGAGCGGTGCCCAGCCCAGGGTATGAGAAAGATGTCAGAGATGGTCTCTTACACCAAACACACGTAGGCATCAGCACATGCAGCAGGGACCGTCCAATTTTAAGCTGGAAGCAGTTTTATGCTCTGGCTTCTCTGCCAAAATGACAATAGCGTCGCTTCCTCATCGTCAGCGCACTGTGCTGGAGTTTTGCTGCCTTTTGTCCTTGCACTCAGTAGCATTTGGCACTGGGACTGGATCATCTATCCCTCCTTCTGTACTCTGGGTCTTGTAAATTCTGGCCTCATTGAAGTGCTGAGATGAATATCTCAATAGCCTTGTATCTATCATGGTTTTAAGCAGCCCTCTAGGGCACTGCAACCGAGTAGTGCAGAGCAGTATCTTACCTGCTCTCACCTACCCTTTATCTCTTCCATTCCCACCTTATCCCAGTCTGTCTGTCTGTCTATCTGTCTATCTGGGAGGACTAATACAGAATTAATTCTTTTAGTCTCAGACAAAGTAAGAGAAAAAAGCACTGCTGGGCCACTATAAAAGAGATTGCAATTCAGAGCAGAATCTGCATCATCAGCTGGGTGTTAAAGAATATCATGACTCTCAGGTATTCCTGAAAAAAAACTACACAAATTCAATCACTTCTTCTCCATATTGGATTTAAGCCCAAGAACATTGAACACATATCAGCATTGCTTTGAAACAATAACAGATGGGTATGTCACTGTTGTTTTGTTGCTTGTTGTATAGAAAACTGTATTACACAGAGGATAAAATGTCATATAGAGGATAAAGCACACCACACAGAGGATAGGACAATAGCTGCATCTGCAGCTTCAAGAGATGAATAGAAATACACCTACTTTTTCATAAGGACACCAAGGAGTCAGTTCTTTTGGGACAAAAGTTAGTACAGAACTAGGCTCAGGACACCATAATCGATGCCTGAGTGAGGTAGGAATTATTATAATCACCTTCTCATACTATTATTTAACATACAATACCTATTCTGAAATGTTGCACCATGCTTGAGTTGTTTGCCTTTTTGAAGGCTGACACTTGCAAAGCTGAACTGACAACACCTATAGCCCATAAATGAAGGCATCTCCTTATGAACCCCACCACAAAGTCAGAGAATATACTCCAAGAGAAATCCATGTATTTCTATTTGTTGCTGCAAAGCAGGATGGGCTGGCAACTATACAGCCAGAACTCCAAAAGATTTCCATCCCTGCTGTGTGTGGATGAGCATGGAAAAAACCCCAGGGTCGACAGCACTTGGAAATATGATGATTTGGGTATTAATTTTATAATAACAAGGATTTCTTTTGCACTGCCATTGCAATACTTCTTTGCTGGATGACGTTTGGCTTGTGAGTGTACCCAGAGAGATGCTCTGGTAGCAGCTGAAATAAGTGAAGGAAGGAGGGAAGGTGGCTTACCTTGCGTTGTCCCGTCCAGTCCCATGAGACATTTCATTGCCCTGATGATTTGCTCTGCTACAGGGGGACACATAGATGTGGCGTACACAGCACTGTGAGAATGAGTTCGTAAAAAGTCCACAAGGTCCTTACACAAGCAAAACAAAGCATGAATGAGCTTTGAGCTGGCCAAACAGCAGAATCTCCCTCTTAACTACTGCAGGAGTGGGAACATGCAAAAGGAAGAGGACGTTTCACCAGCTACTGGATTGCAATCTTGGCTGCCACTGTTAATACATGGCCTGAAGAAACATCAGGCAGGTGCTTTACCATGAAAGTGGGGAAATTACAGCCAAAACAAAAGTCTGGAATAGAATGATGTTTACTTCTGTGCTAAGACTTATTATAAAAGAGCCAAAATAATTTCAAGACCAATGAACAGCTGCACTTAAAATAATGCTGCTCAGTTCTCCTCTGGTAATGGAACAAAGGCTATATGACATCAATATAGGTCCTCTGCCACATGACCTTACCCAGGAAAAGCAACCTTACTGGGATCTGTCTTTGTCTATTAGCATATAAATTTTCAATCAAAACTTTCAGTGTGGCAGTCATGCCAGAGTCAGTATAATTGTTTAAACATTTCCTGAGAACACAGTAACTGAGAACACAACCTGTCCTCTTAGAAAAACCATTGATATACTGTTGGCACGTCTAAAACATCAGTAACTCTCCTGAATTCAGGCATGCAGTAGGAATTCAGATCTTCCTAAGATCATCACTGTTATAACAACTTATATCTCCTAGTGCAAAATATCACAGTTCCAGTTACCACATTAAAAGCTGAGTGCATGTTAGTGAGAAAGGGATGAGGCCTGCTTGAAAATTGACTCTGATAAAAAAAAATATCATAAGAAAAAAAAATCCAGTGAGAGTAACACAAATCACTAACAAAAAACTGTGTAAGTTTATGCAGTAACTCCAGTGCTGAGGATGAAGATTTACCTAACCTTACACAGGTTGTGCATGGCCATACTGCAATTGTATTCCTAAGGGTTTGGTTAAAAGCTAAGAAGGCTTCTGGGCTCCAGCTGATGCAGAATTAACAGCCCCACTGTGAGTTTTTGGCTGCAGAAGGGAACGTAAGTGGGTGAATGGGTGAGCAGCCTTCCAAGACTGAGAAGCCTGAGGCAAAGCTTAGTGATACACAGGCGTGAAAAGAGTGACCTGTTTTCACTTGAAAAAACTTCCAAGGATTAGAGGATAAATTACATGGGATTACTTTTCACAGGTCTAATCTCTCTACACTTTCTAGCTACATTACCCACATTGTCTTTGGTAAGAAATAAACGCACAGATAAAAATTCAGGAAGCCAGGGAAACAAAGAAAATTGATTCTTGATATATTATGACACTTGGTTTTAAGAACTCCAGGGGCAAACCCAAAAAAGACAGTAAGAAATACACAGTTTATACTTTCTTATAGCCCTTTTATTCTACTGTAGGGCTGCCCTTATTAATGTTATTCTGACAACAACCATATGGGCTGTCTAAACAGGCTTCCCACTCATTCAGCAGATTGCTTAAAAAATACATTCAGCTGGGTATGAAAAGAGAAAATAATCAGCAACCATTTGATCTCTCTGTCAAGCAACAAAACCAATGACATTTCACAATGGTGCTGATTATGCTTTCTCTTCTACACCCCCTGTTAAAGCAAGCTCAGCTCTACTTCTAGTTGACATCTGTTGTTGGCAAGAGATTGTTTTGTTAATGTACACGGAGCAACTGAGGACACAAAATTTACTATTGCAAAAGGCCCCAGTAACCTCTTTCTCCATTCTCCTAAAAAATGCAACTATGTCAATCCACGACTCTTTAGGAATTTTATTATCAGTGGATGAAACTGTGGTTTTAATCTCTCAATATTGCTACACACACTGCTTACAAATATGAAACAAAGTAAGAAACAAAGTAATGAGCAATCCGCATGCAAATTAATGTAGGGAAGTATATTAGCCAACCACAACATGTCCAAACATTTCCAAGACAAACAACAATCATCAGGGTGGCACAGAATAACCCAACTCAAGCAAATTACATAATATGAACATGAGACAAAAATAAGAAAGTCTGACTGTTTGATGTGCATTTGGGATCCAGGCAAAAATGATGCTGACTTTAGAACAGTGCTCATGTTAAGCAGGTTGTTCAAAAAGATACTGAAATGTATCGTACATCATACAGAAGCAATTCCCACACCCTTGATGTGAAATTGTTTATGATTTCCTTTTACCTTTTTGCCAGCTATGTATCCTCCAGCTGCGCCGAAGCTCTTTGTGAACGTTCCCATTAATACGTCAACATCATCGGGGCTCATTCCGAAGTATTCCACAACTCCTCGGCCCGTTGCTCCCACTGCACCGATGCTGTGAGCTTCGTCCAAGTAGAGGTAGGCTTTGTATTTGTTCTTCAAGGAGACTATCTCTGGCAGGCGCACGATGGACCCTTCCATGCTGCACAGGGAGAGAAGCAGGGGTGAACAACAAACCCTGCACTCTTCCCCATACTGGCAGAAAATACAGCCATTAACTGCCTTAATCCACCAAAGTTCCTCTGGTATTACAATTTTTACTTACAAGCCAAAAAAAACTCACAACACACACCAAAAACTCACTTGAAGGTGAGCAGAAAACAGTTAAACAGTCTTAGAATTCAGACATTCAAAACCAGTCAAAAAGTCTTTTGAATGTTTGTAAATTGTCAGTGTGTCAGAGGAGAGAAGGAAAGGTGTAAAGCAAGGTGCAGATACTTACTCTAAGCAGCACATTACATTTCATCTCCACAAAACAAATATTATAAAGAACTGCTATAATTCAGTCTGGTCCTTGCTTACTTCATTGTCAGCTACTGTGGCAATATTTGGGCATAACAGCTCTAGAGCAAATTCATCTGGTGCAGAGGAGTTGGGTCCAACATACACTGGAGATGGGCCATATAAAACCCACAGCTGGTGCCATAAACTCTAAGCATTCCCAGTCTTCACAGAATCAGGGATTAAAACAGGCAGCTGAAGTCCAGCCTTGCCAAATTTTGCTTCGATATATACTTTTTAGGAAATGTAGCCTGCTACCTAGTAATCAAAAGGAAAAAAGTTTCCATTCCTTTGCTTTTTACTTTATTACAGCCACACAGAAAAACTAAATATTTGGAAGTGGCACAGGTTGCCCAGAGAAGCTGTGGACACCCCATACCTGGCAATGTTGTAGGCCAGGTTGGATGGGGCTCTCAACAACCTGGTTTAGTGGAAGATGTCCCTGTCCATGGCAGGGGGGATTGGAACAAGATGAGCTTTCAGGCCCCTTCCAACCCAAACCCTTCCACGATTCTGTGATTAATGGTGTACTGAGATTCAGAGAAATGAGAAGAGATGATAAATCTTTTGTACTGCTGGCAGTCATGTCAGTAAATGAGAAGGCACAGAGGAGGTGTCCAGCAAAATGAAAGCACAAGGAGATAAATAAGAAATGCTCTCTGATCCCATAAAGATGACATATGCAGAGTATTGCTGTGAAGACTTGTGTCTTGAAAACCTCTGTGAGATGACTGCAGCTATGCTTGGATATACTCAGATGCACCTGGTATTCATTCCATAATGAGTTAATCATGTTCTCTTCCACTAGCTTTAGTAAGCAGGTCTTTAGAAGTTAAAAGCTTCCTATCAAACACAAAGTGTTTGATACATAACAAACCCAGGCAAACCAGGGCTCTGTGGCTAAGGCCCACAGCTAAGGTGCAGCCACCTGCAAATGCAACCAGTTTCAGATGACCAGAAACATGGACTTTGGTCCCAAATAGTGAGTACAAAAGAGAAGTGCAGTCAATAGTGTCTTGGGAATTTTTGGATCCTGGACCAATGGCTTTCACAGGCTGTTTTGTTGCCACTTTACTTGTACTGTGCAGCTAGAAGTTTGGCACCACAAAAGGAGCATGATGTTCTTTTAGCACTAGGGAAATTTCTGACAATTTTAGTCCTTCTTCATCCTTTGGTCTCCTGAGTAAGCTTGGAAACTGGTCTCCAGTTTTGAAGGAGACCTGCCCAAAGGCAAAACTCCATTAGTGTAACAGCATGGGGGAGTAGCCATGGACAAGGGCTGCCTGTGCTGTTCACACTGGGAGGTTCAGAGAGCCTGGCTGTGTGTGCCTGGAGGCATATTTTTGGCTCTTGGTAACTGCTGGCAAATCTTGTTCTTCTGTCTTGCCCAGCCTTAAAAGAGGCAGCTGTGGGACTGTTTGTTGGCACCATGGTCCCTTGCAGCAAAGAAGGGTGGGCTTGTACTGCAAGCTCCTGAGGACTGGGCTTTCTCACTTTTCCCAAATGACACTTGGCAGCTGGGGGAGAAGCAACTTAAACCACCACAGCTATTTTCCTAGTGAATAGAAGGGCAGAGCCCACAGTCCTCACATAGCCCAGAGTCAAAGCATTAGTCAGCTGAAATGACACTGGGCCACTGGGTGTGCTTGGATGTGCACCATCGTACGTGCTGGGCTTGGCAGCTTTCAGCTGTGTCTGGCTGGTCTGCAGGGAGGGCCAGTGAGCACCTCTGCAAACTGCAAATCCCACCCTCCACCTCCCAGCAATGCTTGGGCACACCAGCCAGGCAGAGAAGGGCAATGATGGTTTTTCCACATCTATATGGTCGTCACTAGGCTTAGCGGTTCATGGAGATTCAGGCAGGAGAGACAGCGTTTTACTTCAAAAAGAGTAAAAAATGGTAAAATAAAAATGCTGCTTATTTGTGTAATGGAAGGAAAGCTGTGCTGAATCCCAGAATACATGGAGCTGGTACATGGCTGATGCAAGATTTAACCATTTAGAAGATTTAATTTAAACTTTTCTTTCTCGTATGAGTAGGAGATTTCTCTTGGAGCTCTAAGTTGCTTAGCAAAACAAGGCACTTGTATTCAGTTTCAGTTTTTATCTACCGCTCTTGAAAGATGCTGGCTAAGACAAATGCAATAGTTGACAGAGTCCTAATGTGGCCTTGAAGCATCCATGGAACAGATAAAGTGCTGGTGGAGTCGTGCACATGTTCTATGCTGCCATTCCAACAGGTCTCAGCCCTCCTGATGGCAGAGATGAGAACTGTTTTGCTGCCTGCTTTGGTCTTGATCTCTCTTTGGACCCTGGGAGATGGTTACTAAGCACATAGAATTGCTTCAAGATAAAGCTCACTTCACATAACCCTTTGGGTAGCCCAAATGGAAAGTTTACTGAATCCTTCAGTAAATGTTGGTGTCAAGTGGGCTTAAACCAAAGAGCCAGAAGTGAACTGTACTGGTTCTGTTTCACTATGGCTGGGCCATTTAGCTTTGTGTGCAAATGTATTAATCTGTTTCCAGATCTGCTCAAGCACACAGAGCATAATAAAAAACCCCAGATGAACTAAAGCTGGCTCTGCCCAGGCCAGGTGTTCTCGTTACGTGGTATGACATCCTGTCTTGTAGCACAAATTCCTAGCTTGGTGGCAGGGATGGAAAGCTTCCAGATTGCAGCTGACTCTCATCTCCCTTGTGTGGTGGACAGGCACAAAAACTTGGGTAGTACACACTCAGTTTGAACATACTTCCAGATGTGAGGAGACAATCCCAAGTTTTTAGAAAACTCCAGTTTGAAATCCAGTTGATTCAATCCCCATCAAACCACCGATGCTCTTCCTGGTGCAGCTGATGAATTGCAGATCCAGGTGCTTTGAGAGATGGGAGGTGAGTGCTTGTGATGGTCACTTCACTTGAAACACTGGCTCACAATTGACATGATATTGATGGTTTTTTGCCCAGTTTATACTGAAACTTCTTGGGAAAAGAGGTTTCTACATTCTACAATGGTACCACAGTTTCCTTTTTTTTTTCTTTCTCTCAGGAAAATAAATTTACAAATATTCCACCTTTTATCTACTTCATCTCTAAACATGCCCTAGAGTACCACTATCTTTTCAACATTTGAAGAGTTTATCTGTTCCCCTTTCAGGCTAGTTTGTAATTGGGAAAAATCCCTCCTTTCCTGGCCTGCTACTCACAAGACATGTACATTCCACTTCAGCAGTTACTTTAGGTACTGTTTTCTTACATAAACTTTGTACATTCATACAACAATCTCTGTTTTGTAGTTTAGAGCAATAATTTTAAGGAAATCTTTCAATTCTGCCCTCAAATACAACTCCATTTCAACACTAAAATGATAGAAATGCTAACCTTTAATGCTGGTCCTTGGCCAAAAGCATTAAATGTTACCTCATTCTTTTCTGGAAGTCCAGTCACTTAATCCCAGGAAATAAAAAATAACCATGCTAAGTTTCCTACACTATTGGCATTGAATCCCAAGGAACTTCTAGTGCACATGAAAAGGCATTGGACAATATCTAACTGATCAGAGCTAATTTCTTAGCTGGAAGGGAAAATAAACAAATTAAATTAAAAGTAAGGAAAAAAAACCAAATGAAAACCAATCTGTTTCAATCAATTTCTGATGCCCCATAACTTCTGCCCTTGGCCTTGGCCTATCTGACTTCTAAGTAAATATGCATGGAAGAGAGCAGAAGCCCACCACAAACCATGTGAGAACACAGTAACTGATTAATCCTGAACTGGAAATGGTGGAAGCCAAGGAAAACATTAGCTGGAATTCAAATAGTAAAAATATGATTTAGCAAGTCTAACTTGTGCCCTGGTCACTGCCAAAACTTGTTCATGCTTTTTGGAGTCAAGATTGATGGCTAGATGGTCTCCCTCAGTTTGGAACGCAAATGGAATATATTTGCTCCTAGGCTGGTCCAAGTTAAGAACCAGCTTTCACTAGGAGTTACATTTACTTTTTTATAATTTTCTTTTTCTTTTTAAGATAATAATGCCATTAAAAAGCAAACAAACATATACTTAATACTATTTATTTGACATGTAGCTTGAGTGCTTCCCAAGTCGAGGGACCAATTCTGCCTTCAGTTATAAGCAAGCAAAATCTGTGGTTTATGGTTTCAAACACAAGCCTGATTTCCAGAAATGCTCATGTTGGCTAACAATGACCCTTTTCAAATTTTGCCAGCTGCTAAGTCTAGGCTTATGCACAGTGTAAACACTTTAAGACACTCCTAATGGAAACAGAAGGCAAATTTCTTTCCATACCATAAACTTCACCATACTAAGATTATGGTGTCCCATATAACAATATTTTTTTTAAAGAAGGAAAGCTTAGTGTTTTCTTTTACATCTCTGGAAAAAGCATTTCTGCAAAAATTTGCCAAGCCAAACTTGCAAATCAAGATATTATAACTTGGAGAATGGCTTGGACCAAGTTATTTAAATTCTATACTTGCCATCCCTGAAGCATAACTTAGGTAAAAAAATAAAAAACTGTATTAACTATTGTAAGAAGAATACATTAACTACACTCTAACTCCTCTTAAACCCTCTTGATGAATGTTAATTTGGCATTTGGCAAACCTTCAAGAAAACTATCATTAGCCAATATGGGGCTGGAAAATTTTAGTCTTTCAAAAACCCTGGGCCAAGAAAGGAAAGAACATACACACAAAAAGAGTAAGAGAATTTCTACTCCATCCTTCTCCAGCATTTTTCTTTTTTTTTTTTTTTATATGAAATGTTCTTAGCTACCAACTGGCTGAGGCTGGCTGGGCTGTGAGCCTGTTCCTGGCCGTGCCGCGGGGCTCGCCTGGCTGCGCGTGTCCCGGGCTGGCAGGGACACAGCGCGGTGGCACGTGGTGGCATTTGCCCTCAAGTCACAGCAGATTTGCTTTACAACCAAACCACACTCTACAGTTTCTGATCTGCTTAGACTGTGAAAACAACCTAACTAACCAACCATCCTAGCTACTGCTAGGGATAGTTTCCAACAAGAGACTATTAGAGAGCTGAGATTTGTTTTTCTTTTACTTTATACCTTTCAGAAGCATAGACACTCAGGGCATGAGTGGTCTTAACATTATTTAGCCTATATGGAGCTGAAGGAACTTTATGGCTCCTTTTAGTAGGTACTCTGAGGTTTAACATGCTTTTACTTTGCATTCCAACAGAAGATTCCTTGAAGTTTGGAAAAAAAAAATTTTGTTTGAGAATGAACTGCAAAAGTACAGGAAAAGAAAACTCTACACCAAACATAAACCTGGAAACACAGTTATAAGTTAATATAGTTAAATATTACTATATTTAGTAATATAGTTTGGGTTTGTCCCACTGCTTGGACTGATCCATGCCTCTTTGTTACCAGTCTACTTTCTTGTTCCCTAGTGGTCAATATTCAGGGTAAAGGATTTAAAAGTGAAAAAAGCTCAGCAGCTGGAGCCTTTTCTGCCAACCAAGTGACCAATGGGAACATTTGTCAGTAAAATGTTGGTGGTCCACTTATTTTCTGCATGATCAAAGTCCTTAAATCTGAGCTTTCTTTTAGTAGTCCCAAGTGATGTTTATTTGTAGTTTTGCTCTGTTTATTCTGGTTGAAAGGACACGTTCAGCCTGCTTTGGATCAGCTGATCTGCTGCTGACCTGTTTCACCTCTGAGTGACAGGTGTTTAGATAAGGACTGATTTGGTCTCTCTGCAGATGGAAAACATTAGGCAAAAAGAAAGCACTGACAACTATGAAGTTGTGATGACATGCGATCATAAAAGATTTCTTCCAAAAAAAAGCTAATTGGCTAAGCTGTGCCAGCATTTTGCAGCAAAATGGCATAAGTGACTGCCCATCCGGACTGGCTGCATTTCAGCAACACATGATACAATCCCTACATATAAAGTTTTAATGCCAGTTTTTATAAACCCTGTCATGTCCTGTGAATGAGTGGTTCTGGTTTCCTTCTCTCTGAAGCAGGTGTTGTTACTCCCCAAACCACCCTTGTACTGCTCCCTCATCTTCTGTACTGCATCATCTTCACCGCAGTAGCCTTGCTGAGCTTCCTGCAAACCCTCTTACTGTCCAAACCCCTGCTTCTCCAACCCTTCCTGCCTTTCCCTTCTCCAACTCCCGCCCATCAGTGGCTCCCCCTCCCTGAACTCCCTGGCTGTCTTCCCAATGGCCTTCTCCAGACTGGAGCAGCTGCCAGGATGAAGCCCAGGATGGTGAGCATGGCTGGTGCCTCTGCTCTGCTGCTCAACTCCAGTGACTGTTTCCCTTTCTGGCCGGGTGTAAGCTGCATCACACAAGTGAACTGTAGCTACCTGACGGAGGTGCTCTACAATTACATTGTATTATTGATGCTGCTATTATCAGATGGATTCTCAAAGGCACTTCTCTCATTTGAATTCCTCCAGGGACTAGGGCTGTGTTAAATACCACTATATAATTCTTTGAAAGGCAGTCTTTCAGTTTTCCTGTTGAAGTGCAAGTCTATTTGATCCAGCACTCATTACTAAAAAGATGCTGATATCACTTAACCTAAGTTTAGCTTGAGATTTAAGATTTCAGCAGCTGGGCAAGAACTGGGCACGCAGAGAGCTTAATCAATTCTGCATAGTTGTCTTTTGATCTGCCCATGGGTTACAAACAACTCTACAAAGCTCAGCTTACTCACTCAGCACAACTCCCCACCAACTACAGCTCCATGAACTTTATCACATCTGCCACAACATACACCACCTTACCTGTCTTGCTCTCAGCACATCTCTCACTCTACTGTGATTTGCTAAGTCAACATTCAGAACAATGTGTAGGATCTAACTGGAGCTACAGGATACAAGGTCCAGGCTTTTGTAATGGAAATCAACATATTTATGAGATCACAGAATGTTACTGTAACTTCTACTCTCATTAATATTTCTCTCAGATACCTAGAGTCAGAGTTTTCCCCACTCAATTCATCATTCTGTCCTCAGAAATGACAGAATACTCATCTTTCTACAACACAAACATACCTGTAAATGCCCTCCACGAGGATGATAATTTTTCTCCATGCTCTGTGGGTGCGAGGCTGTCCATATATTATTGCATCTCTCAGCAATTTCTCGAGGCTCTGCATATCTTTATTTAAAAATAAGAAAAAGGAGGAAGGAAAAACATTAACAATGATTTTTCTCAAGAACTTTCAATTTTCTCTTGAGTGCTACTTTTCCTACACAGAAAAAGACAATATTAAAAAAAAAAAAAAGATCCTATTATCTTTATCTTAAAGATAAACTTCCTTTATTAGTAGGCAAGACCCAACAATTCCTTTCATTGGTGTGAATGCAATTTAGAGACAAGAAGAGTTATAAAAAGCTTCCAGTTATGCACCTGATCTGGGAAACTTCTAGAAATACTTGGCATGCATTTGTATTTAAAGCTAAAAGAGAATCACTTTGCTTCAGTACTGAGGCTAACTACCAGCAGTTCTGTGTAGGGGCTGCTGATACTCATAATTTATCAAGGCTTTAACAGTGAGTTTTGGTTGTTTTCCAACCACAAGCTCATAAACAACAAGTATTTTTTCAGCAAAGGGTTTAATAAGGCTGCATGAAGCACATCAGGATGGCAGCAAGAGAAGTCTTGTCCTTCTCAAGGAGGAAAACAAGTGGAAGGTTGCTGATGAAAGAGGGAGAGACAGGTGGATACAAGCACATGGCATGGATACATTATTTTGGTACCTAAATCCTTGACACTGGTGGGACTTCAATATAAGGAGGTCTGGAACAAGGTTATAATCCTTAGCTGCTTCCTTAAGGGCTGATTATGGGTCATCTAAAAAAAATCTTGAAGGAAAGTCATTGAAATTTTGAAAAATATGGAAGAAGCAAGAAAAAATACCACAGAAATCAGATCAGGCCAAGTGTGACTCTCAATGCACCAGCATTCTGGTGTCTCAAATGAATGGACACTCTTCAACAGGCATTATTCTGGTACTTTTCAGGAATCCAGATCAGCATTTCAAAATGTTTTCCAAGAACATCCTACAGAGTCTCATAATACCCAAGAAACACCACAGATCAGCTCAAACTGTGGGCTGAGAAAATCAATGGCATTTTTTTCCACAATATAATCCCATCTGCTTCAGCAACACAACACAGTTGATACAACCTTCCACAATAGCACAAAGTTAATGTATGTAAAATTAATTGTTCTGAGGGAAAGAAAAAATGCACCTCAGAAATAGTAATATTGACCCACAGTTTAGTTTCTGCCCGAGGGGAATGGGGCCATTTGCACATTAATTTGTCATTTTGAGTAACCTGTGCCCTGAGAGATGGCCAGGTTATGACCTGAACCCTTCCACATCCTGATGCCTCACCTCTTCCTAGCAACATTCAGTGATGTTGGTGGAAGGTAGAGTTCTCAGCAACAAAACTGCCACTCTGCACCTGACCTAGCAAGTCCCCGCTGTACTCTACAAAGCACAAAATAGGCATGGACAATATCAGTTGTCTCTTGTTTCAGTGGTGCAATGGCCTGCACAGCTCAGTGAGCTCTGAGATGGAAATGTGTGCTAGGAGTGATGCAATGCAGACAGCACTCTTGCCACTAGATGGCAATCAAGGAAATAAAAGTTCTTTGGTGCTTTATAAAGGAAAGTTATAACCAAGCTGAGCATTTGCAGCTGCTCACATTCTCTTTTGAGTAGATAATATTTAGAACTCCTCCTGGCTCCCCCAGGATGACAGAGAGCTCACAGTAAATTTTGGGCACTCCCTTTCTCTACCAAATTATTCTCTACTGATGTCACTGTCATCTAAATCCTTTTGGGATCTTTGAAGCCCTCTTCTAAATCACACAGGGTGTTTCAATTCAGTGTTCTCTCTATGTATCAGTCCAGATTAGCTCTTGACTTCAGAAAGGTCATTCTGCCTCTGAGCTAAAAGCATGGCTTGAAGATTCAGTTGTTTTAGCACATTCACATGAAAGGGAAAAAAAAGGAAAGAGGAGAGGAAGTGAAATGTATATAATTTTGTTTTAAAAAATGCATGACTGTGTGTAGGTCCTCTGTCCAAAGTACTGTGGAACATGAGACCACAGACTGGGGAGAACCTCTCCAAGAGATGAGTTTCCTTTTTTTTTCCCTATTCACACATAATATAGTCCTGCTGGAATACAGGCTAAGAACATGTCTGCTATCAGGATCAGGGCTATCTCAGTTTCTTTTTGATGTCTCATTGTGTAAAACATGGATGTGAGACCCTTTCTGAAGCTTGTAATAGCCAACAGATAATTTGTTCAGATGCAAATGAATTTTACTGATCTATTAACTCAGTGCCTCATTTGGAAAGGGGAAATAGGCAGAAAGAAAAAAAATGTAACCTTTAGTATTGCCCACAAAAGGCTGCTTCTGTTCTTCAAGGTGAAAACAAAGTGCTCTATGTGCTTGTGCTTAAACTTTTCAGGAAATGGGATATACTGAATGACAGGAAAAACAACAGTGCAACCCCAGGTGACTTTCAGATATCAAATTATTTACCCATTAAATATAGTTAGATTGAGAGACATTAGGACATTAAGATGATGAGCTGCACAAGTCCATCTTGAATAACCAGTTATAGAGAAAATAACAGTCCTTCCTTGTTTGACCATCACCAGCCCAGGGCTTTCAGTGGCAATGGCCAGCAACCACTCACCAGCCCAGGAGGTGGTGTTAAGAATTTGACTTGATTAATCAGTCAAAGTGCAACCAAATGTTTCACTTTCCACCTTCTCCTTATAGCATTTTGTCCAGATATGGAGGAGAAAGTTTCCTAAGAGGGGACAGTGGATCTATCAGTGGGTTGGTGGACTTGCATAATCCTTGTTTGGGATCTCTCATGGTTACCTCAGGAGTAATACCAAGAACACAAACTGCCAGTGGGCCGGAGCGAGTCTGGACCTGGGCAGGCAGTGTGTCATGCTGCCTCCAGTGCAGGTGGGACAGCAGGCACCTGGAGGGAGCATAGCATGCTCCAGGAGACACAGCATCTCCACCCCTCATCCTTACACTCTAATGCTGGGGATGTCATCACCATTCCTCTGCGTGGGCTGGAAACCTCCTGTGTGATGTCAGCTGAATCCTGTTTAATTAAAATAAACAGGCTGAGACTACTCTTGTCACATTCTTCTTTTTGCTTTGTGCTTGTAACTCTGATTTTCAGTTTCTCCCCTTTTGCACTCTCATGCAAGTTGGCACAGACCCTGTGGCTACACACGAATATCTTCGTTTCAAACGTGGGAGCGGTGATCGCTGCAGCCACGGAAACAGTCTGAGGCTCCCCTCCCTGCCCCTCAATAAATACTAATCTCTCTGAAAGTAAAGGGCACTGGTCCAAGAAAGCTCCCTATCCACCCTTGGCAAGTCAGATGTGACTTTCTCAAAGCAGAGAGGGCAAACGCAGACACAGCGTGCAGGGAGCAGGACAGACCAGTCTCCTTGCCGTGGCGGCGTCTGCATGTGTCACAGGGAATTACACACCCAGCTGGATTAGGCTGCAGTCCACCTATCTGGGCAACAATCTCGTCTCTGATAGTGGCCAGAGGCTTCAAGGAGCACAAAACCCTACTGGCTAATGTGCCTTCCATCCTGCTCTGCAATAGCTGATCTTCCTTCTGAAATTCAAGGACTATCTGCACACTTGGAAAAAAAAATTAAAATTAAGGAACAATCCTGTACTAAATCACCACAAACTCTTTGGGCTTTGCAACCAAAGAAATTCCTTTCTAATTTTTAACTTTTTATTTATCTCTTTCATTCCCCCCCCCCACCCCAGTTTATTTTCTTGCTTAATTAGTTGCACTTACCCAGTTTTCTTTCTTCCTTTTCTTTCCTTCTTTTTAGCTAGTGAATATATTTATACTGAAAGGTGAAGGCCTTCTGCCACCTTGAAGTCCCTTCAGTATTAACTACAGCTCCTCCAGTTAGCTGTGCATTCTATTTAAGGTGTCCTCATGGCATTTGTTTCTAACTCCAAAGCAGTAATTTGACTGAGTAGACTGAGAAATGCCAGAGTTGGATTTACATAAATTCACAACTGTTGTCCAAGCTGGGAACTGTATTTTGTGTGGGAGCCTGGACAGTTCACACCTGTATCACACCCTCATCATCAACCACTTAATCTGTGAAAGACTAAAAAAATCCTTTACTATTTTCACAACATTGAAAAGGTGCCTAAAGAGGAACTGGGAATGTATTGCCCTGATTCCCATTTCAGATGTGGATTCAAGAACTAGGTTACAGGCTGGATTTTCACCTAACCAATGTGCTTGGTTATGCTTTGCAATTCCCTGCCTTCCTCACAGGATGACTTGCTCTGACTGCTTGGTGAAATGCCTTTGAAATGAAAATAACTGGAAATATTTTCCCCCCCATGGCCTGACTTCTGCACCTTGTCACAACATTCCCACAGACTGTTCATGCAATTGCAAATCTAAACCTGAAAATGGGACTGCAATTGAGTTGCTTGATACTACATGGGAAAAATGTGGTAGAATTTGGAAGAATAAACAAATCCTAAGCCTTGCATGGTGCCTTCTTTTACAGGTGATAAGAACAGAGCTCACTTGGATATTGTTAGTCCATAACACCCTCATCTGCTCACTGAAGGAACACCTGACACCAGACCCAGAACTGCTGTGAGAGAAAGCCCTTGATAAAATCACAGACTGATTAATGGTTAAATATTTGGTTTTGCTTTTCAGGTTTTATGGGAAGAGTCAAGGATTTTGGCTAATACTTAACCAGATAAAGGTAAGAGGTGCTGAAAAAGGGCTTTTAAATGTATGGTGTTCTTAAAAGATTGCCTTAGAAATTAAAGAAAAAAAAAAGCCAAAAACCTGCAAGTGATAAGTCAATCTCTCCCTGAGCCAGGAAGTAAAAACATCTGAGTTTAACCCCCATTTAGCTGAAGGACCCCCAAGCCTGTCACTTGGGGAAGGTGGGAGAGACTCCCTGGAGCCCAAGACTGGTGAGGGTAACATCAGACACCTTCTGGTAAAAAAGCTAACCAAAGCCAGGCCACTACTGCCCCAGTGATGGGGAGATGTTTTAGCCTCCCACCTTCTCCCACTGCACACTGGCTGTTGGGCTGTGCTGCTGCCTGCATTCCAGAGCAGCAATGCAGCTCTCTCCTATCTTCCCAAACAAATCACTGCCTGGGAAATGGTGACCTGAGTGGTGGCCACACCACAGCAGGGGAGACAAAAGACAGGTGCTTTATGGTCAGGTCAGAATGATTTTAGTCCACTAAAACACTACTGCATACACTGAGGACTGCTTAGACCCTAAAATAAAATTGAAAAAAACCAAAACCATTAAAATCCCCTAGACCAGTGATTCAGAGCAGGGGCTCCAGGGAGCTGAACTTTGCTGCTTGCACACACAAAACCACACAAATACCTGACAGAGAAAACTCCCTTAAAGGCCAAAACCTGTGTGCCGATACTGCTCTGCCCTCAGCAGGGTGAAGACTACAGACAGCAGTAATGAGAGCCCACAGAAAGGGAAGGCCCTGTTCAGTAGGTTTTAGTTATGGGGCTAAGATGGAATATTCTCTTCCATTTCTCTCACACAAATGACCTGTAGGTGTGTGTGCCTGTGCATTTTTCTCAGCCCAGGCCTGTAAATTCCTGTCTGTTTACTAGGAAGGGACTGTTCACAGGCAGGCAGGATGCGGGGCACATTCCTATGTCCAAATAAAAGCAGACTTATAGGTCCACAGCACTTCTTTGTTCTATTATTCACTTTAAGGCTTGAAAACCTTCTCATACACCCATGCAATGTTTTTGTCAAAAAGAAAAGACATCTGGATGCCTTTTATTTTGCCTAGGAAAAGCATAGACATCTAAGGATTTTGTCTGTTCTAGAAAAACTATTCAGATTTTTTATGGAATGTGTAATGTCTAAGGGAGCTACCCACTTATTGAAATAGAACTTCATTCACTTTTGTAAGAATAAGAACTACATTGTAGATAACTAAGGTAATAGGTAGAGATTCTTTCTTGTCTTACAACTGAAATAATTCTCTATTAATAATAAAATAGTAATTATTTACTTTTGAAAGATAACAAATCAATCATCTATTACAGAATTCATGCTTCGAAATAAAGTAAACAGTTTTAGAGAATTAGCTATACTACAGCCTTTGAAAGATGAAGGTACTTCATAGCAAGTTTAAAATGGTAGATTTTACACTCTTTTCTGTTAATCTTTTCATTATAGAACAAAGTTTTATATAATTTTTCTTTTGACAAAGAGTTTTTCCATTACAGAGCAGGAAAAGGAAAGAGGAGAGAGATTTATGCGCTTGTTAGAACCTGATGATGAAATCAATGGTTATTAAAGATCTTATAGCAGCAGCTTAAAGTACAAAATTTTCTATTCATGCACACTGCCAGTACAGCACAAGGAACCTTGCAGTCACACCAAGCAGTGTGACACAGAGGATGGCTCAATTCCCCTGTTCCTAAGCATGACAATGACAGCATGAGCACACTGACAATTTGGGCATGACTGTATATATGTGTGTATATATATATATATATGTATATATGTCACATACCCACACATCAGCAAGAATGAATCTGGGAGCATAAGCAACACAGCTCTGGTCTAACAAAACAAATACCTAACTGAAAAGAACCCTCCCAAGCCAAGATGGAATTTTTGATTACTTAATGAATACAGTTTTGGCCCTTAATTTTTTTTTTTATGTACTGGCTTGTGTTACACTACTCCCTGGTAGACTCAGAGGGCACAAGCTGCCTGCTCCGTTTTGGGTGAAAGAATGATTCCTACAAAGGCAGTCCTGCTGGGATATCCTTTCCACTGCTATCTCCCCCAAAACACATCCAGTTTCCTCCAAAATAAAAGGCACATACATACATCTCTGCATGTGTGATTTTAGTTAGTGATGTGTAACTCATGGGAATGATTAAGGAAATATTAAAAAGACATGACTTTCTAACCATAGAACTGACAAGCTGAGAGACTCAGACTGGGCTGAGAGAAAGCATGAGTACATGAAGCTTCTCCACATGAAGGGCTCTCTAAATGCAGCTTAGGCTCAAGACCACAAAATTGTGACAACAAAAGCTGTCACTCAGTTCCAAACAGTAAACAAAAGTAAACAAAAGTTTCCACAGGTTCATTTTGGAAATAAGTTAAGGTGATGTCTCAGCAATGGCATAGAAGATTGTCTTTGGCAAATAAAATCTCTAATCTAGAAACCAAAGAGTTTTTCCAAAGCAACTTGGATGGGCTTTCACTGAGGTTTGCCAAGATCCTTAATGGAACTGTCTGTGTCTTCCAGTGCTAGATTAGCACTCTTTGGGAAGCTCACTATTATTTTTAGGTTCACCCATTATTCAGAAGAGCATCAGCTTTAATTTACTTTCAGTGCAACAGAAGCTAGTTAGGTATCAGGCTGTGGGGAAGGAAATGAGATACTGAGAGATGGTTAGAGACTGAATCCCTTAAATCAAGCATGACAGCTCCAGGTGATATCCTCACAGCTGAGAGTGATGCACTCCTCAGACTGGAATGTTTCCTGAAATGATGTGGGAAGTGACACAAGCCAGCTGGACTGCATGCAGCATAGGTGGGTGGGGAGGCTGAGAACATTTGGATTTGGGTAGTAAGAGGTCAACCTGCAAGATGTGATGTAACCTGATTGAGTGGGATAAGGCTTTGAACAATAAGGGAAAGTTGAGAAAAGACTGGTGTGGCAACCATGTGGAAGTGGACCAAGTTGGGGTATGCTACAGGTTAATTTATGAATAATTAATTCTGTAAAAATATTTGTGTTCAGATGAATGATCTTCAGAAATTGCTTCTTGCCCAAATTATGAATCGATATTAATTATAACAACATCTTATATTATAATTATAGTGTGCTTTTCATTTCAACTCATCCTTAGGCCTTTTATGGCATATGCATAATTTATATTTGCTCCCCTTGGGGCTGAAGACAACACTTGAAGAGAAGGGATTGTATTAGCCATTAAGAAAGGTAATCAGACCACTCTTCTGATTTCTCACCACTTCACTGGCTTCTAAACCTTTCTTGAAATCACTGCCTGGTGGCAGCAGTGAGGATGGAAAAGGGAATTGCAGTGGGGAATAAGGGAAAAGAATAAGCTCTTGTCATCAAAGGCAGTCCCAATGTCTCTGACAGTAACCACAGCAGCATTAACTAAATAAAAGTTAAAGGGTACGAGCATTTTAGAAGATAACTATACAATTTCAAACTTAATATGTGATTTCTATACTAAAATTCTATTTTAAATAATATTTGGGATGATGCTGTTGATATCTGTATCTTTGCTATTAGATCCCTGGAAATTCAGAGGAACTGCTTCAAGGGAATGCCATGTTAAAGCAATACTGGTTTCACTGAACCTGCTGGAAACAGGCATGTTTTTGTAAGGGTGTTTCTACTGTTTGGGCTACAATGAAAATAAAAATAAAAACTTTTGTGGCAGCACACATTCAGCAAGTCAAAAAGACACAACAACAATTACAGTATTGCACCTGATTTTTCCCATCAGAAACCACTCAAAATATTAAACAGTTGATCCTCCTGGGAGGATCAGGGAACTGATCAGCAAAGTAAGCATTGAAAGAAATCATTCTTGCCTTTGAGGTGTGAATAACTCTGTCTCTAAATTTTTCCAACTTCAATACTCACTATTATGCTTGAAGATTCTAATAGTGGCACCTGAAAGCCTCGCACCGAGAACGAGAGAAGTGTGGTTCAACTCATCACTTAAAATGAGGCAGCCCTGTGGAGAAGGAGTACAGTGAGCATCTGCATGAGCTGGGAGGCTGCTGACTCGTGGGCATGTGTGTGCCAGCATACACAGGTGTCTGTGACAGAGCATTGCACCAATTGAGCTGTAAGCATTAAATGTGAAATGAATTTTCCACCCCTTTCCTGCAGGTGCCGGGGTGCACACAAAGGCAGGCTGAAATAGCGGGATCAGATTCTCAGGCATTCCCAGGTGGTGTGTAGGGGTCCAATATTTCCTGTGACTGGAAAGCAGCAAATAACCCTATAAAAGATTGACTGCTGACTTTTATAGTAAAATCAGGTGATGTTGCTTCCTCTATCACCTGTTTACAGCCCATTTTGAGCAGTAAGGAAAATGCACCCCACATATAAAGACTGTATGACAGTAGTGTAAGGAGGAGTAATACTGAGGCTGGACTGACATCAGCACTTCGGTGTGCAGAAATGAGATCAGGAGAGACTGATGCCTTGTAAGTCCCCATCTCCATTAAGATGTGAGTGAAGTTGAGGAACCAAAGTCTTTGGTAAATGCATATAGAGTTGACCTGTAGTGTACTTTTTATTAATTAACTCAGTTGAAAACCCATTTTGTTTTTTAGAAATGAAAATAGAAATGCAGGAGAAGTAAATTTGTCTATTATATTAACAAGGGGCAGGATCAGAGTTGAAACTCAAGCTTAAACCCTTGTTTAGCTCTGCTTTCTATTAAACATGTTTTGCTGTGTTTCATTACCCAAAGGGCAAGACATAATTAAGTAAAAACTTATTCTGGAATCATAGATTAGGCCTAGGTTCAGAGATACTCACACAATCTCCCCTGGTTTGGAGACTGGTTTGCAGAACTAACAGTAAGATGCAGCTTGACAAGAAATTGTAGCTGCTAGGCTTAATTATAGAGGAAAACATAGAAGTAAATCTCTCAAATATAGGGTAGTTGAATAACATTTGTAATATATATATAATAATGTATAATAATATATGTTGAATTTTAAAATACACACATATATATTAAAAATACATACAGTAATATCTTTATTTGTACCACTTATATCTAAATATCCCACCCCTCACAGAGACTTGAATCTCTACATTAAGCCAGGTAAGGGAGGGAAAATTATTATATAGCTAAGACAAATATCTCACACTGCATATCTGTAATTTCATAAATTTACCTTAATTAATTCTCTATTGTATCAATTCCCTTCAAAACTTCTGGACAAGTTCTCCAGCACCATTGCAGACTGAAGTTCATGTTCTGGACAACTGAAGCAACTCTCCCTGCCCAACACTGGTGTACATGTATTTTAGAGATCTTGCAAAAGCTGCAGTCATCTTCAACAGTTGAGTGAAGAAGTGACCTCACCTTATGCTGGTGGTGATGCTGGTTGTCATACACCACAAACTGAATTAATTCCACCTCCACCAGGAGGGAGGTCATGTTTTGTACTTGCATGGCACACTTCATACTGCCCCACACCTGGACAAGCTAAGAGGAGTTACCTACTTTCCAGGTATCAGCACCTGTTTGTGATGTCCGCAGTTACCAGTGACAGGACGATGGATATCCATGCCTTTGAGTTAGGTTCTCCAAACTGGAGAGGAGGTCCCTTCAGCACCAGGTAAGAACCCAACTTTTGTAACACGATCACAGCTTTAGACCTGCATTTGCTGCCAGTTTTCTTCACGGGGCTGGCTGGAGCTCTGTCCACCAGGAATGCTAAGGACTGTGCTTTTCCTTTTCTCAAAGTGTTGTAAAAACTATCCTAATCATCGTCTTTCATCATAGCTGGGCAAAATCTCAGCTAGTAGCCTAAATACTTCATCCCACAATGCCTGGACATGGGATTCAACATTTGGTTACTTTTTAGGGAGAAGCAACTTCATTTAGAGGAGCTAGAGAGCTGTATCACTGATCCTTAAACAGATGTTAGGCATGTGTGATAGCAACCCTCAGGGCTAGCACAGATGATAAAGGATCATATTTAAAGTCACAAGGTCATCAGCTTTATGACTCACACGTTCCTAATACCAAGCTTTGTTCCTCGATTAAGCCTTTCCACTCACTGAAAGCCCAGAATACTGCAACAGTAGTTAAAACAATTAATAAACAATTGTTCTACATGCTCCTGAAGGAAGTACTCACCTTTCCAACAAGGGCTGGAATATTCATTGAGTTAGTTGCAAAGCCCATGCCAAACACCATAGCATCTTCCACACCAAGGAACTTGGCCACAAGTTTCTCTAGTTCTACATGTTTGTCTAGGGTGCCTGCAAAAATAAGCACAGGGAATATTAAATCTCATTAAACTGTGAAAGTTATTATGACACAAAACATACAAAAGAACAGGCCAGAAGTGTGTCATTAAGCTGTGGGACAGTAAGTCCTAATGAGGGTTTTCCATTTGTATCCTGTGCATGTGGGCTAATGCAAGAGATGCAAAGCAGCCGTGACTAATGCTAACAAATACTGCGACTGTTAGGGCAGCAAAGCAGTTGCTATGGGAAAAAGCTTCCTTTTCCACAATAACTTTTGACATAGTTTATTCTGAAGACTAATTTTTAGTCTTTTTCTCTCCCTGCAATGAGGACAAAAATACCTCCTTTTTGCAGGAAATGTGGGACAAACATTTTAGGCATTCTTGAGTTCTCTCCAGATGTGGAAACAAAAATGGGCGACAACAAAATTCTCCCTTTTTTATTGCCTGCCTATATATATGTACAAAACTCTTAATTAGAATTTTATATAAAACAAAAGCATTCTCCATATTTTTCTGCTTTGGAAAGTAAAAGCTATTCCACTTCCCATAACTGATGATAACTCTGCTCCTTCTTTCCTCTCAACAGCAAACAAAAATGACAACGCAACACTACAGACCCTTCCTTATTGCATATTAATTATCTAATATTAGTGCTTGAAGTCTCCAAACTAATAAGGTGCTCCAGCTGTCCAACAAAAGCACTATCCTTCCTGCCCAGCTCACAGTGGAGGATGACAAAATACAGAAGGCAAACAAACAAAAAGTGGTGTTAAGAGACTGAGGTAACAGATAGCTTTGAACAGTAAGGAATCATCTCAACTTGCCAGCTCTCTAGTCTTTGGTTGCCTGGCTGTGCATTGCAGGGACCAAGGCAGAAGGAACTCTTACAGGATGATCTGTGGGGAAGAAAAGAGAGTGGCCTGTGGATTCTGAAAGAGCATTTCCCCTATGAATAAGGCTGTAATCAGAGAACAGAAGAAAAAAAATTAGGCAAGTGAATATGTTACCTCACTTGCACTACACAAGCTGATGGCACAATAATATAAAGTGAATTACAATGGATGGAACAAGAAAGCTGTGTTCACTGTGATGGACAAAGGGCAGATGAATGGAGGAACACAGAAGCTTGGCTAGAGTGTCTCAACAAGAATGATGAGTCAGGAAGATGATCTTACCTTCATCAGGGAGCAGAGCTCATTAGAAAATAATTAAATATAAATGGCAGGAGTACAGTTTCAGCAACAGCACTAAGTCAGCTGGTTACAGTGAAGTAGTGTTTTCATTACTTTTTCTCATTAAATACCTAAAGAAAGAATCCATTTGGGAATAGAATGTGACAACCATCTATCATGCAGGCAGGTAACTCTCCAACAGTCAGGGACATAAGGAGCAAGGATCACATGGCTTCTTGAAAAACCTGGATTACATGGACAGTAAAGTACAAGCAGCACTGCTGAGATTTTGCCAGAGCCTTCCTGTGTTGTGCTAGTCTTGAGCCTACACAGCTGAGCTTCAAGAGCATGTCTGCACCCCTTGTATCACACTGCATGCACCTAGAGCTGGGTTGTCTCTGTGCTCTGAGAATTAGGTAATGTGACACAGAAAATGTGGCTCTGCAGGAACTCCATGACATGTGAGCTGAGTCTGTGTGAAGCTCTTCGAGGATGGCTATTTTTTAAATCTGTACATCCCAAGAGCACATGAGGATATGAGCTGGCTCTGCACACAGCCACTGTTCTGTGAAATACAAAACAGTGTTTCAGAGCTGAGCTGCTCACTGGAAATGTGGGTGAGAATCTGTCTTAAGGTGCAAGCCCAGCAGGACTCAGCATGTGTTTCTGTGGTTAGTTCTGTATTTTTGCAAATTGGGCCCAGCTAGTCTTCAACCTGGTTATAGCACTCATGGACAACTGAAAGTTCCAGCAGGATCAGCTGCCTTAATGCTCCCTGCAGCTGTTATTCTGTCACTCGAGGGCTATCAGCATACAAAAAGAAGTTGAAGTCTGAAACGGAAGCTCGAAGCCAAGCACACTATGGTCACAGCTTGAATTAGAAGGTTTGTGAAAGCATGAGAAATAAGCAGTGTGTGCTTTGCAAGGCAGGCATTTTAAGGCATGACACAATTGTCCCTGACTCTTCCAGAGGTAAGTCTGACACTACTGGGGTGGAGTTAAATTGCTTTTTGGGGTTGCATCACATGTTTTCTGTTTTTACAAACAGGAAAAGCCTGACTCAATACAGACTGTTCTGTTAAAGCTCCTATTAGATGACCCACAAAGGAACAGCATATTTTTCACCTATTTTTATTGATTTTGTCATGCAAAGAATGACTCATTCTGAAAGTGACTGATTCCTACTTACTATTTATTAATCTTAAGAGTGAATGGAGATGATACTGTATGTCACTATTGCCTACAAATCCTGGAGTACAAATTGAAATTGATTAGCAAAACAAAATCCTGAATGACAAGGATTTGCAAAATGAGCCCTGGTTTTGAATCATGTTAATTATTGTGGCAATATTGTTGTCGCAGAAGCAATACAACACACTCCAGTACAGTCAGTTTGAGGTTCATGACAGCTGTATACATTGAACAGACTTGAAAAACCATATAATTATGCAATTGTTTAATCATATCAGGAGATATCTCTACACAAGATGTCCTTGGACACTGTACAACTCTATCACCTGTCTCCACTGGAAGAAACAAGGGGTCAGACTTGCACTGCTGGGATGAGGCCTGTCCACTAGCATTCCCAGCTAGTCACAGCCACCACCACGACAAACATAAACAGCACTATCAGATAGATGCAAATTTGATCCAAAGGAACTGGCACAAGCTGAAACTTCTCAGCATCTCAAGCTACATAAGAAAGGCAGTAATTAAATTAGCTTAGTAAATAGTAAATTAAATTAAAGGCTCTTCATTAAATTAGAGCTGTCAAGTGAGGTTATCCTGGCCTTTAAAATGTTTTGTATTGTGCTAGATTCAAGACCAGTATCATGATCTGATGAATGAATAGTGAAATACTAGAGATATGTTTTTAATACACTGTATACACAGTTTCTATGCTTGCTCTACAAACAGACATTAGCTGACTGACACCAGCTTGGCTTGACCCAACAAATGAGGATACAACTAAACAATGTACACCAAATCACCAGGAAAAATTTAAGAAAAAAAAAATAAAGGTACCTGCATCCTTAAGAGACAAAATTAAATCCTTCTGAAAGTTATTCTTCCCTGCTGAACAGTTGTATGTAATACAATACAGCAGGAGTTACTGCCATCCAAGACTATATAAGTATTAAGACCAAAGATCATATCAAAAGTGGACTTTCACAATGGGAACCACCTCCACAGATTCCCACACTTCTCAAAGCAAATCCCCTCCTTTTGAAAATCTGATGACCCAGTTCCCTCCATTAACTTGCCACTGCACTCTGGTGACAGGGAACGTGAAGTACACTGTGTTTTGACAGGCTTTTTCACAGACTTACTTACCCATGCTGTTGGGCTGAAAGTCACTGCCAGACTACGAGACAGATAAAGCTGGAAAATGGACTTCCCATGATCCATATAGTCATTATTTGGTTTGACATTTTCAGCTTGGACAAGGTGGTTTATGCCCCTGGTTTGTCTGCCCAATACAGTCTTTCAGGTTCTTATACACTAACGACACAGACTGGTTGAACTGCCAGCACTGGCAACAGTATCCTATAATAGAATTTTATGTTTGGAATTCCAAGACCCAAAGAAGACAGGGAAATACCTGCTTGCCTCAAGTTAAACAAAAGCTGGAAGAGTAAACTGATATAAGCAGCAAGCCCTTGAAAGGAAAAAGAACAGCTGGGAACCCTGTGCATCCCTGACGTGACTCACCAAGGTGACTGAGAACCATTACACTATGAAAATGAGGGTTTGTCAGCAGCATCCTTGGGAGGGTGGGGAGCAGAACAAAACATCTGAACTTCCTTGTCACACTTGAAACTTAAGGTCACAAACTCACTCTGGTAACATGCTTGTCAGAGATTAAAAAAATCTGTACTATTGAAAGACATACACACTTTTACAAGAGCAAGATTAGATGAGTAGCAAGATGAAGAAAGAGAAGCTGTGGAAATATTATTTCTTTACATTGTGTTGCCAGAGCAGATGATGAAAGTGATATCAATGTCCTACAGAGACACTAGCAGAGAAAAGCCTCCACTTGTAGAATGAGACATGTTGGAAAAAGAGGGAGAGAAGCACACAGTAATGTTGTGCAGTTGTCTCATTTAACACAGTGTGTGCAGGAAAGACTCCCAAAATAAGGGGAGTTTAATGAATTATTTGATAGAAAGGAAATGCTCAAGTTTTCTTAACATTGCTACCAACTGACAGGGCTTTCATACCACAAAGATGCCGTGGGTGTCATAGATCTAATAATGTACCTGTGTAATTGAGTGATTCTCATGAAAAAAGTAGATTAGCTTTAACAAAACTTAGAGTTGAATTTAGATCTGGTTTTGCTTCCTTTTTTTTTTCCCTTTAGAAAAACACAAGGATAAAATTTCCGGTTTAAATCCAGCCTCTTCATGCCAAAGCCTGTATGGCAGCATCTTAAGGATCTGAATATTTGCATGCAGATAACATCATGTAACAGAGATATTTTAGGTATTAAGTCACACAGCCCTTAATTCCTACAGATGCCTTCAATTCCACCTGCTAGAAGATGGACTATCCAGACTATTAATCTTGCATTGCAAAGCCTACTTTTGCAATGGTGAAATACAAGGAACACACCTGACCCAATGATTATAAATTGATCGTAAGTTGGATTAGTTATTTATGAGAGGCTAGGCCCAAAAAGGAAAACAATGTTACTAGACATGACAAAAGACAAGTATTTGCATGAACTGTTTCCTAATTTATATCATACCCTATCAGAAAACAGATAAGATTATGAAATATGTGTATATATACACATATATACATGCACACAAATTCTCATTTTTGTGGCTTTATT